CATCATATTGTTTGAATTGTTCAAATCGACCCCTCAGAGAAGATAGAGCTTGATCAATTATAAAAACAAAGTATTCAATTCTAAATGATTCTTCTGCTGATTGCTTTACCTCATTACTACAGTTTTCATCAAATTGTTTTTCTTCGAATTATGCGTTTTTCTATAAATACAGCTTCAATTCCCATTTCGTTTGCCTTTTTTATCGCTTCATCCATGGCAATGGCAAATCCAATTTCTCTATAATCCTCAAGAAATGAAATAAGTCCTTGCAATAGGTCGATAGCATGATCAATATCCATGGATTCAGTTTCAAGAAATTTACTCACAATATTAACTGCATGCAACAACCTGTACCAGATTACCATGCCAAGCAAGAACTCAAAATTCTGAAGTTCATGTGTTGCCAACGACTCGACTTCACTCTTTACTTTAGGATCTTCGTTAGTTTCTGCCAAATCAAGTAATGCTTTTCTTATCTGTGTAGTTTGCTCCATTATAGGATTCACACTCTCAACATGACTTTCCCAACGTGTTTGTGACAATGGCTTCACTGTCAACCCTTTTACATTATCTTTAAAAATTTGTTATCGCTTGGTAGAAGATGAAAACAAAGTGTAGATGCATTGTATCACTCCAAAGAAGGATACAGCTTTAGAACAACAATTCACCATGTCACATAACGCTAGATTTAGACTATGAGCGCCACATGGAGTATAGAAAGCTCGGGGATTCATTTCATGTACTCTTCTTTGCACACCTTTGTGCTTCCCACTCATGTTAGATCTGTTATCATACCATTGCCCTCTAATGTTATCAATATCCAGATCGAGTTTGATCAAAGCCTTTTGAAGCTCGGTTGTAAGTCCAAGTCCCGTTGTGTCATCTACCTTCAAAAATTCAAGCCAATATTCTTCAACTGTAGGTAAGTTTGCCGAATCATCTACAAATCGTACTATTAACGACATCTGCTCCTCCAGACTTGCATCTGGAGTACAATCAAGTATAATTGCAAAATATTTTGCTTGTTTAACTTTCTTGACAATTGCACTTCTCACCTCATTAGCCAACAACTGTATCAACTCATTTTGGATTTTTTTGCCAAGATACGTGTATTGAATCTCTTTTGCATTAGTCCGCCGAAGGTGCTCTTTCATTATTGGATCAAATTCACTAACCATTTCCACCATTTGTAAAAACAGACCATTGTTCTCAACATTTAGCCTCTCATCATCTCCTCGAAATGTCAATGCATTTTTGGCGAGTCTTTTTACAATAGCAATTATCCTTATTAATACATGCCTCCAATGTCCTCTTTCCGCATCGATCAACAATTCAACGCCTTTATCAATTGTAGTTTTTGTTCGAAGCGTATTTTCCAGTTCAATCCAATTAGTCATGCAATATAAATGCTCTTCATTTCCTTCATGACTTTTAATAGACCGATGCAAATTATGCCAATCTTTGAATCCATCGTTACCAAGTTGGCCAACTCTGGTAACATTTTTGGGTGTTTTAAACAACTTGCAACAAAAGCAAAAGATCCTGTCCATAGATATTGAATATACTAGCCATCTTCTATCAATTGTTTGCCCATTTCGTAGCAATCGCTTATATTACGAAGAATCAAAATGCCTATTTGTACAATCTTTTGGAAATGAGATGTCATCAACTCTTTTTGGACCCCTTTCAACTAAGTAATCCCTTGGTCTCTGATCAATGATTTTCCAATTTTCGGGATCATCCAAATTTAGAGAAAAACAACCCTCTTCTTCCTTGTCATCTACTTCATTAACACATGCGGGTTTCATCATCTCTTCTTCCTTATTGATGAGTGATTTACACTCATTATATTATGCCATTAATTTCATGATTTTGCTATCTTAGAAAGTATTTTAGAGGCGCTAACATGTGGTTTTCACGCTACTTTGAAGGATGGATGAAGTGGAGAAAACAAGTGCTAAAAGAGGCCAAATGGAAGAAATGGGCAAAAGTTGGCGAAATTGGATGAAAGGACCAAAATGTAAGAGATCTAAAGTTCGAGGACTAAAGTGCACATAATCAAAAGTTGTATCGAAACTTGCAATGAAGATCTGAGAGTGGTAGGAGTCAATTAGATGAAGGAAGGTGTCAAAAGGGATCAAATTTAATCAAGATATGATCATAAATCATTTTCCAACCGAAAAGTTTTGTACCGGATTTTTAGTCCCACATTCAGACCCATTTTCGACATAGCAAATGATCTAATTGGAGAATGATTCCTGAAACAAAGTTGTATCCCTTTGAATTACCTTTTCAACACATCTTGAGTCACGTCAATTGGATATCGAACAAGAAAGTTATGCTAAAAATGCTGAAACACGCGCAGAATGCTGTTTTGGGCGAACCGAGCGCCCAGGCGCCACAATTCTGTAATTCCAACAGAAACTCAGCGCCCAGGCGCCCAATGCCGAGAAAGGAAAAATCCAATTTTTCCAAATATTTTCGACCTGGCCCAACTCCAACTCGTAATGCAAATTAAGGGGATTATAAATACATATTAAGAGACCTAAGAAAGCAGGTTTTGACGGCTGAAGAAATGAGGCAAGGATATACACTAATTGAGAGAAGAATCATTGGATCTTGGAGAAGGAATCAAGCTGCAACCTGAGTTTTTTATTATCTTTCTCTTCTCCATGAGATTTAATTTATATTTTATCATGTTCTTCTCCTCAATCATGAACTAAGTTATTAAATCTAGGGTTTGATGTAACCTATTTGAGACATGATTCAATTTCTTTATAGCATTTCCATTTAATTTTCCAGAATTGATTTGTATTGTTCTTGCTTAATGCTTTCGGTTGCTTGATCACCAATTGAATGAATTGATGCTCTAAGTTTAACGCTCGAGAGAGGGAAATTTAGACATGATCTAAGAAGAATATAACCTAGATTTGTAGATTTCGAGAGAAAGTGCAATTCTTTGAGGGTAAAATAAGAACCAAGTGTGTGACAATCTTTATAAATTTAACTCGGAATAGAGATATTGGGGTTGAATTATAGAGATAGGTTCTATTTGACGCTCGAGAGGGGGAAATAGAATTAATTTAGGATTCTTGCCTATGAATTCGGGAAATAATTAATGGAAGTATCTATAGGGGTTGAGAATCATGTTGATAATATGGTGAAATCATTCCCTAGACTTTACGAAATTCTGAATTAATCTTTAGAAATTGCCTCACTTTTCTTGCATTATTAAATTCATCGACATTAGTTTAGCATTCAAACATCAAATTAACATCTGATTGTCTAGATAAAGTAAACGCAGACATAATTATAGTACTCAGTGGAAGTCGAATATCAATCCCTGTGGGTTCGACACTTTTCAATTCTTTAATATGCTACAAAACTTGACATCGTGCTCTTGCAGTATAAAATCACGTTATATAAAACGTGTGGCAAGTTTTGGCGCCATTGCCGGGGATTGATTCATTCGAATTCAATTGATATTATTACCAATCGACGTTCATTTTACTCTAGATTTTTATTTTTACCGTAATTTTTATTTTAATTTACTCTTTTTTGTGTCTTTCTTTAAAAGCTTCCTTGCGATTATTTTCAGCTGTTTATGCGAAGGGCGAGAAATCCAGATCTACTACCTATTGATCCTGAACTAGAACGCACATTTCGCATTCTCAGAGGCATACAAAGAAACGAACGGGAAGCAATGGCAGAACAGAATGTTAGAGCAGCCAATGAGGATAACCAACAAAGGGCTATTCGGGACTACATAAGGCCGGTTGTCAATGACAACTATTTCGGTATCGCACGCCCAGTAATTGCTGCAAACAATTTCGAATTGAAGCCAGAGTTGATACATATGGTACAGTAAAATCAGTTTGGGGGTGCTGCAGTAGAAGACCCAAATGCTCATCTTGGATCCTTTTTGGAAATTTCGGTGAAGATGAATGGGGTTACTGAAGATGCAATTAGACTCCGCCTATTCTCATTCTCTTTAAGGGATAAAGCAAAGGCTTGGTTCCAATCACTATCGTATGACTCAATTACAACTTGGGATGATTTGACTCAGAAATTCCTCACCAAGTACTTTCCACCTTCTAAATCAGCTCAACTTCGCGGTGAAATAAGCCAATTCAGACAACTCGATTTCGAGCCATTCTATGAAGTCTGGGAAAGATTTAAAGACTTGCTTAGGAGATGTCCTCAACATGGGTTCCAGAAATGGGTACAAATTGAGATATTTTATAATGGGCTAAACGGGCAGACAAGGACTATGGTAGATGCAGCTGCGGGAGGCATTTTAATGGCTAAAACAGCAGAGGCTGCATATGCTTTATTGGATGACATAGCCACGAACAGTTACCAATGGCCAAGTGAGAGATCGGGTGTAAAGAAAGTAGCGGGACTTCATGAAGTGGATCCCATCACCGCACTAGCAGCTCAGGTTGCATCACTCACAAATCAGATAGTCACGCTTACCACTCAAGGAAATCAACAGAAGGTAGATTCAGTCATGAGTACTTCTTCTTCACACCAAGAGACAGAGGTTGCAAATGAGCAGGCCCAATATGTCGACAGTAGAAACTACAATCAAAGAGGAAGCTACCAAGCTAATCACTATCATCCAGGGCTGAGGAATCACGAGAACTTGTCATATGGCAACAATAGAAACACACTTCAACCTCCACCCGGATTCAACACTCAGAATTCTGATGGGAAACCGCCATTGGAAGACATCCTTGGAACGTTCATTTCTGAGACAAGATCACGCTTCAACAAAAATGAACTACGGTTGGATAATATTGAAACACATGTGTCCAACATGGGAGCCACAATGAAGAATCTAGAAGTGCAAATTGGCCAATTGGCTACCTCAATGAAGTCTCAGCAAAAAGGAAAATTTTCCAGTGATATTGAGGTTAACCCACGGGAACACTGCAATGCGATCACCCTAAGGAGTGGTAAAATGGTTGAAGAAAGCAAACTTAAGAAAATTGTGGTGCCTACATCGGATGTCATAGTTACAGAGGAAAGGCAGAGTGAAAGGCAGAAAACTGAGGCAGAGGGTACAAAGATCTATAAGCCTTACTCGATCTCATTTCCAGACAACCCACCAATCTTGAAGCCCCCACTACCATTCCCGCAGAGGTTCATGAAGAAGAAATTTGATGACTAATTTGCAAAATTCCTGGAAGTCTTCAAGAAAATCCACATCAACATTCCCTTTGCAGAAGCTTTGGCCCAAATACCTAACTACGCCAAATTCTTGAAGGAAGTGATGTCAAATAAGAAGAAGCTGAAGGAGTTCGAGACAATTAAGCTAACAGAGGGGTGTAGTGACATACTTCAGAAGCTCCCTCACAAATTGAAAGATCCGAGCAGCTTTAACATCCCGTGCAATATTGGTGGTATCACATTTGATAGGGTACTGTGCGACCTTGGAGCTAGTATAAACCTGATGCCCCTATTAATGTTCAAAAAGCTGGGTCTTGGAGAAGTGAAGCCCACAACCCTCACTTTGCAACTGGCGGACAGATCGATCACATATCCCAAAGGCATGATTGAAGATGTATTGGTGAAGGTCGATAAGTTCATCCTTCCTGTTGACTTTGTGGTGTTGGACATGGAGGAGAACGAGAAAATACCGTTGATTCTTGGTCGACCTTTCCTAGCTACTGGAAGAGCATTAATTGATGTCCAGGAAGGAAAATTGACACCGCGGGTTAATGAAGAGCATGTGACTTTCAACATCCATCAAGTAGAAAAGTCTCAAGAAAAAGTCAACATTTGCAATATGGCCCAATCGATTGAAGCAGTTTTAGGTCACAGAGAAAAAAAGGAAGTGTTCTATGACCCTTTAGAACAATATATGGCTCTCAATTACTTAGTAAGGGATGCATCTACTAATGGCAAATACTCGGGAGTCGAAGAAGTAGTGAATTTCATATTCACCCAAGAAGCTGATCCACCTGACAAAAAAGAAGGCTATGTGGCTAGGCCTTTGAAATCTCCAAACATTGTCAAACCAAAAGAGGTTTTGAAGGCTACATCGAGGTTCAAACCGCCTGATTTTATTGGCCATGCCACGGTGAAGGAGAATGCAAAGCCGAGGGTAAAATTCAGAAACAAGAAAGATGCTCCACCCGAAGATCCACCGTAGACACCTTGGTTGAGTCAAGCTAGTGACTATAAAGAAGCGCTTCTTGGGAGGCAACCTAAGCTTTCGTCTTTATTTATTTATTCTGGTTTTGAATTTTATGATAATTTATTTTATTTCAGAGTTGTTATTTAGGAATTCATCAACCCTACCCGTCCCTTAGGTTTTGAAAAATCAAGTTGGTTATCGATGTTTGAGCTAAGTACCACTTGTTCCATGAGTTTAATACCTACATTGTGATTTTTCAGGAATATGACGTCGCAGATCAATCAAACAACATTGACAAGGAGAGGCTGGATAAATCTCAAGTTTGGCGGGAAAGCTAGTAGAAACGTCCATCAAATTCAATATTAGTGTACCAAACCATCGTTGGCAATTCAGACAATTCAGGGAAGTCCTCCTCTTTTTCTTTTAATTTAACATTGGGGACAATGTTTAGTTTAAGTTTGGGGGGGAGTGTATTATAAATTGTCTAATTGCCTAAATTTTTTGGTTTTGTCTGATTTGCAAAAAAAATAAAAAAAAATTTTATTTGTTTGTTTTTTTTCTATTATATATTTATTTAATTTTTATTTGTGTGCATTGTCAAATAAAAACAAAAATAAAAATAAAAATTCGTGTTTTTGCATGCTTGTGTGAGTTAGAAAGCCTTGCCGACAGTAATATATATTATTGAGAACATGCATTAGTTCATGGATTATGAATATGCTATGTGTATTTGAGTTAGATTTTTGCTTGTCATGTGAAACGAAAAATATCTTTGCACGTGAGTTGATTGTGGCGTTGTGCATGAGTAGGTTGATTCATGTTTATAGGTTGGAATAGAAAACTTAGATGCTGAAACCCAAACAACCATTAAACATCACAATACCCTTAAACCAAACTTAGGATGTTTGGATGATTGCATTGTTGTAGAGAAATTTGGAGATAAATGTGGATTCCGTGTATGCTAAATTTTGTGTGGATTGTCTGATACCAATATGATGAAAATTGGGTGAAAACCTTAAGTTAGAGGTCGATTTTTGAGAATAGGTGTTTAATAAGGGGCATTTCACTAATCATCGCATGAAAAAAAAAAAGATCCCAATGATGACAGTTCTAATAATCTCATTGTGAAGCGTTTCTTTGTAGTCTTTATGACTTGAGTGATTAAGCCTGCAAGTTTTTAAAATCTGATACCCTAAAATTATCTGATTTGGGAGTTATCGGCCTAAAGCTCGCTACAGGGGTCATTTAGAAAGTTTAAGGGAGAGACGTCCGCACAAAGAGTGATCAAAGAATAAAGATATATATGAAAAAAATAAATAAATAAAAGAGAAAAAAATAGATATCAAATGCCTTGATTAAGCCCCAAACACTTATTTTAGAGGATTAGACATTTGATAAGGGGTTGGTAACTTGGTTGATTCCTAGAGGTTGAAGCAGTCAAAAATAAGGAGAGTCCTCATTTGTTGATATGTTGAATTGCAATAAGTGAAATCTAACCAAACTTGAGTTGTGTAAGATATTAGTATTGAAAATTAACTTTAGAATACACCTTGGGAAGCCAAAAAAAAAAGAACAAGTTTGGGAGTGTGTGAATCCCACGAGCGAGGCAAGGAAATATTTGACTTTTAAGGTCGGGAATTGGGTCAACTTATTATTGTACAACGTTGCACTTAACTCTTCACACACACACTTGTTTTGCATTGAATAGGTGAGAATTTGGCTCGTGCATTATAACTTTGAAGTAATTCTTCCAATTTCATGTGCTTTAATTATGCTTGTGTGCTTGTTAATGACTTTCTTTGTTTTGGTGTTTGCTCAAGGATAAGCAAAATGTTAAGTTTGGGGGTGTTTGATGAGTGATTTACACTCATTATATTATGCCATTAATTTCATGATTTTGCTATCTTGGAGAGTATTTTAGAGGTGCTAACATGTGATTTTCATGCTACTTTGAAGGATGGATGAAGTGGAGAAAACAAGTGCTAAAAGAGGCCAAATGGAAGAAATAGGCAAAAGTTGGCGAAATTGGATGAAAGGACCAAAATGTAAGAGATCCAAAGTTCGAGGACTAAAGTGCACATAATCAAAAGTTGCATCGGAACTTGCAATGAAGATCCGAGAGTGGTAGGAGTCAATTGGATGAAGGAAGGTGTCAAAAGGGATCAAATTTAATCAAGCTATGATCATAAATCATTTTCCAACCAAAAAGTTTTGCACCGAATTTTTAGTCCCACATTCAGACCCATTTTAGACATAGCAAATGATCTAATTGGAGAATGATGCCTGAAGCAAAGTTGTAGCCCTTTGAATTACCTTTCCAACGCATCTTGAGGCACTTCAATTGGATATTGAACGAGAAAGTTATGCTGAAAATACTAAAATACGCACAGAATGCCATTTCGGGCGAACCGGGCGCCCAGGCGCCACAATTCTGTAATTCCAACAGAAACTCAGCGCCCAGGCGCTACATGCCGAGAAAGGAAAAATACAATTTTTCCAAATATTTTCAACCCGGCCCAACTCCAACTCGTAATGCAAATTAAGGGGATTATAAATACATATTGAGAGACCTAAGAAAGCAGGTTTTGACTGCTGAAGAAAGGAGGCTAGGATATACACTAATTGAGAGAAGAATCATTGGATCTTGGAGAAGGAATCAAGCTGCAACCTGAGTTTTTTCTTATCTTTCTCTTCTCCATGAGATTTAATTTATATTTTATCATGTTCTTCTCCTCAATTATGAACTAAGTTATTAAATCTAGGGTTTGATGTAACCTATTTGAGACATGATTCAATTTTTTTATAGCATTTCCATTTAATTTTCCAGAATTGATTTGTATTGTTCTTGCTTAATGCTTTCGGTTGCTTGATCACCAATTGAATGAATTGATGCTCTAAGTTTAACGCTCGAGAGAGGGAAATTTAGACATGATCTAAGAAGAATATAACCTAGATTTGTAGATTTCGAGAGAAAGTGCAATTCTTTGAGGGTAAAACAAGAACCAAGTGCGTGACAATCTTTATAAATTTAACTCGGAATAGAGATATTGGGGTTGAATTATAGAGATAGGTTCTATTTGACGCTCGAGAGGGGGAAATAGAATTAATTTAGGATTCTTGCCTATGAATTCGGGAAATAATTAATGGAAGTATCTATAGGGGTTGAGAATCATGTTGATAATATGGTGAAACCATTCCCTAGACTTTACGAAATTCTAAATTAATCTTTAGAAATTGCCTCACTTTTCTTGCATTATTAGATTCATCGACATTAGTTTAGCATTCAAACATCCGATTGTCTAGATAAAGTAGACATAATTATAGTACTCAGTGGAAGTCGAATATCAATCCCCGTGGATTCGACACTTTTCAATTCTTTAATATACTACAAAACTTGACACCGTGCGCTTGCGGTATAAAATCACGTTATATAAAACGCGAGGCACTTATCATCTACTACATTAACGTAGGCAGGTTGACTCACTTCTTCATCTTTATCATCTACTTCATTAACACATGCAGGTTGAATCTCTACTTCATCCTCATTCAACGTATTCACATTGTTGCTTTTAAAGTACTTGTCAATATCCCCTGCTTGACTTTGAATTAATGAAATTTCATTTCGTTTCCTTTTTCTCTTTTGAGCACCAGACTCATATTTAGGAGGCATGGTGTATGAGTCTATATTTGATGCCCAATGATTAACCTAAAAAACAATTACAAAATATCTCAAATCATCACTCTGTTAGAGTTTTCAATATAGTTATTATGTGCGCCTGTGCAATTGTTGATCCTCTAATAATCAATCATATAAGCCAACCAGGCCACAATTATATAAGCCGACAAGGCTTCAAACATTTTCAATTTCTTCAATAACAAGTTAAGGCAAGCCGTTGCTTACCTAACAAGTAGAATTTCGACGAAAACTGTGGAGTTACACCTTCAAGAATTCCACTGTCACAAGACTCACAACTCCCGGCCCTGAAACAAAAATTTCACATCAAACGCTATTACAAATACTAACATGATCA